AGACTTGCCACGGTCTCCAACCCTCCTCCTTTCTCATCCGGGCTTGGGACCGGCCATGGCGGAGTTGGCTTGGGACCGGCCATGGTGGAAAATAACAGAGCTAATCTTGTGAAATATACTGAAGCTGAACGTCAGGAAGTATTTCAGAGACATTCGTGCCTAGTAAGACTCGATGAACTATACTTCTGAACGTAACTTCGGCGGCCTGCAGCACTGGCGAGTGCCCCTAGTCACAAAAACACTTTTCTTACTTCTGAGACACTTGAATTATTCAATAAGCTGGTCTGACGATGTTTAGCTGATCGCCTTTAAGATGAAGAAAACACGATTCTATGTTCGACGAGCACACAAACTGGGAAAATCGAACGACCTTCGATCAAAATTTTGGTGCTGTGTTGCCCCTGCAGTGAAATGTGCGGCTAATATATTCTGTGGACCCTTTTCAGTCAGCGGCTTTGGGGTCCTGCGTCGCTGCTAGAGGCTATCTGCTAAAGCGACAGCAGTTTCGCATCGGATGGTCGCGACTGTTTTACGATGGATGTATGATTCGTCACTATGAATTTCGCTAACGGATCTAACTGCTAACCGCAAACCAGATTTTTGACGATCCAACATACTACTACACGACATCCTCGCGTAAAGATGAAGACGATGCATGCGGAAATGAAAATACTGTAGCCCGGAAGAAGCTGGACAGGAGTTCCGTTGTACCGTAACTGAAACGGGTTCTTTGGAACTCCTAGGCATTTAACAATGAATCTGATGCAAAACAGTATCGATTCGATTTGCACGGTCCACTTCTAATTAATTTAGAGGTGTTGCACGCTTTTAACATATGCGTTACTGCTATTTGCTTGCCTCAAATCGCTGAAAAGCAGTATTATTCTACTATACGCCATGGCAATAAACTTGACTTGGCGACATGGGCAATGAAATACTAGATTAAAAGGTAAAGACAAATAAAACTGGCTAGGCGTTAAATTACCATAAAGCAATGTAATAATTACCTCGTCATACTCGCAGAAACTAGTGATGAGCAAACTGTAGTAGAGTTCCAACACCTCCTTCCGCTGCGACGGTTGGACGAGACGCTTTTTCTAAACGACATGTCTGATTTATGCAAAGTAACAACAAAAAAGGTGAACCGCTCACCAGCAGTGCATCAAACCTAACGTTTACGTCGTCCCAGAGACATTGTACGACTTCGTTTCTGACTGTTGGGAGAAACTTCTCCTCGCTGAAGCGGAAAAGGATGAGCCTGAGAAAAACCTCCTACATGCACCACTCAATAAAGCTATCGTGAAAACTTCATTACCACACATGCAGCAAAGTCACCTTGAACCACGATGTTAACGTATCCTCCAACTTGTAAGCTAAACTGCAAAATCTTTCAGTGACGTGACAAATGATCATCGACTAGGTGAGAAAGCAACATCACAAAAATGCATACCACGCAATCGAATAAAAACAAGGAGACTTTATATGCAGATAGTCTGAGAAAAATTACAACTTACCGCTAGGACAAATAACATAATAGAAAATTCTCTGACCCATATGTAATAAGCTACGAATTCGATTCCCATGAACAGTCATTTTCACTTCATTAAAGCCAACTCAATAGGGCAAGGAACTCTTCTTCTCGTCATCAGATGCAACCAAACGGAAACTGCTGATACAACCATCGAAGGCACAAAATATGTACAATTATTCAATGTTATCTAAAGCTATCAAAGATTGAATAATTGAGTAGCCCGAATCAACATTTCAGTCGTTTTGAATAAAGTGTCAGATATATCTTATGCAATGCCTACTGTAAAGCAAACAGCACAGCAATCAAAGCATCCCTGTTGAAATCAGAGCAGCTTAACGAGCTGTCTGGACGTTATATATTGTTCTCCACTGCATCTGCACAGATTAAATGAGTAAGGACATGCAGTTTTTACTTTTAGGAAATCACATCTCAATTTAAATGACAATGAATGAAGTTGGGTTGTAGCAACTATCAATTTAGAGTATTTCAATACTATCGGAGTGTAAAATGTAGAATGCAAGAAGTTTGTTCAACAACGCGTACAAACTCATTGGGATGTGGCAAACTGACTGCGTGAGAAGCCTTCACGAAGTAGGAGTTCAACTGCTACAGCAGAGAGAAATATATTCGGCTGCTCCTCTGCGCAGCTACAACACTTTTGAATTCTCGGTGCCGAGCAAGTAAAACGGACACGAGCTGACGCTAGCCAACATCTATTTTAAACCAGCTTTTCATTACCGCTGATGACAATGCTGAATAGAAAACCCGAAACACTGCTTCCCTGGTGAGCTGCACCGGTATCAAGGAACCGTTCAGACAGCCCTCCAAACTTAATGACAAATATGTTTCTTGCATACATTTCGTTCAAAATAGAAAAGATGAGTTCAGACATCCCACAGTATCTTAGTTTTCCACATGGTTAAACAATGCACTGAATCAAACCCAGCTTTAATGCAGGCAGAAATTGCGCAAAATAACCGCAGTCGTCGGTATTACTCAATGATTCTAAAAAGAACGAAAATTCTAGCAGGAGTACTTCGTCGGAAAATCAGCATGAGTCGGGAGGAGTTTCCCATCAACTGTCTGCCTTAATCTTTCGAAGATGTTCTAAGGCAAAAATTGATCGGTATTTGACAGTAACAGGCACTACATAAAAATACGTTTCACTACTGAAGCGATTTGTTTCAAATTTGAAACTGCGCTTCTGATAACAAAGTTTCTAAATATTCTGAGAATGACATCAAGAACCATCGGCTGATGTTAACACATGTTTATCCTGTCTTTTATATATTAGTAATAATTTGACCGCGCAGTTATAATAATCTGTTTCCGCTTATCTTTGGTGTAATCACAGGAATTTTCTTTCACATTAACACTCATTCAGAGGGCATCGGTGCTGATAAAATTCGCTCGGTTTCGCAACTTAAAAGCACAGCTTTCAAATTGGCTGGTGATCTGGAACACTGTGGCTTCTCTGGAACACTCATTTATTCCACTGTACCTTGGTCTAACAAGACGAAAGAAAGGCTAGCATGTCGATTACCTTTGAACGAAAGAGACAGCGTGATGTTTCCTTTACGTGCTCATGAAAGAACGTGAGATGTGTAACCATGCTGTGTCTCATGCGCACAATTTAAGGTTCTGATTCGTCTTGATCAGTTTACCTAACAGTTGATTATCAGTTTACCTAACAATTCAACGCAAAGATATTAAATAAAAAATTAACATCTATCATAACACTTTGCTTCGGCTACCTACTTAATTTTGCAGTATTAACATACGATGAACGAAAAAATTCAATACTAGTGCGTAACAAAAAATTAACCATGATTATAGCGACATGTAATGCCAGCAATCAGCTTGATCAACCATGAAAAGAGTGTAAAACGAATGGACACAAGCTGAGAACATTTTATACAGTTTAACAAGATTATGCAACTGATAATTCGATTACAAATATTTTATTTAAGTTGAAAATCAGGTACCTTAGTCGATCTTATTGAGGCAGTAAACTTTCAACATGTATGTGCAGATTAGTCAGTGTACACTTGTAAATTCCAAATGAAAGTACGAATCTCCGCCGTTGCCAGACCCAAGCACGACGATGGACAGAGATTGTCGCGAGGTCACCGTAAAATTCTGCCACATACACCTGATGGAATTGCAGTCATCGAACATTATATCGGCTCGGTCATCGCCTGAGGTTAATAATAGCCCCGAAGGCTGTTGGGGGATTGAGACAGACTGAGAAATCTCGGCAATCAAAAACTGCCATAAACCTTCTCGCATTTTGGGGAATTCGAAGATCGAAATGAAGACGAAAATATAAGTAAGCAACGGAGCTGCCACCGTTTCTGAACGAATCAGGCAGACAGCCCGATTCCATTATAGCACGTCAGATACGGCTCCAAGGGAACGACACCGACAGTCAGAGTTTACAGTCAAAAATTGGCATATATCCTCACTTAGGGGGAAGAGCAAGGGCTAGCTGATGAGACTGTAATGTACCAACTGGATATAGTTGCACCCTCATCAACGAAGCATCAACGCTATGGAATCTTTAACCTCTGCGGGTGAATGCAATTCAATTAAGACGTCAACATCATGACGCGCGCGCAGGCCTGTCTGGGAGAACCCAGCATGGCTGTGAGAATTACTGAATGGAAGCCTGTCAGCGCAGCAGTGGCAATCTTCCGACTGAACCTACAACAAGATACAGCCCTGATCATATTACAGGTCTATGAGTCCAATTTTGAGGGAGAATATGAGTTTTTCTTTGAGGATGCGGAAAATGCCTTGTACCTAGTGCTGACTACACAGTTCTTCATTCTAATGGGCGATTTTAATGCGTAAGTTTGGAGACACTGAAAACTGGAAATGCATGATTGAAAGAACGACACTAGCGACCTCAACAATATCGAAACACAGTTGTTGCAGTTTTGTGCAAACGACTGACTGCCTACCACGAACATCTTCGAGCGTCGAAGCGTGCATAGCTTATAGCTATACATAGAAGTCGGTGATCGATTTGATAATCGTACCGTTTGATTTACGACGTTCGGTAATGGATGTTTGCATAAAGAGAAGCGCAGAGCTATCAACCGATCTGATGGCAGAAGCAACTAGAGAATCAAATGGGAAAGAATCATTTTCTTTAGAGGATAGGAGAGCGAAACTTTCAAACAACGTTGCATGACGGTTTAGATAGAACTTGGTGATGACCATTGATGTGGATACAGTGTTGAAGCGTCTTAAGAGCGGCATACTCGAGGTGATCGTCAAATCGTGCGGTTAAAATAGTCTGGATTACTGTATGGAGGTCGGAAACCGAATCACGCGCAACAATCTATGGGCATGCCTGTGAACATGTGAAATCGATGATCCGCTGCTACGCGCGATCAGTGTATTGACGTAGGAGGTGTCGAGACGAGAAGGTTGCTGTTTGCAGACCACCTTGTTTTATTGGCATCTTCTGAAACTGATCACCAGCATTCTCTGAAAAGGTCCGCAGCCGAGTGCGACATGGCAGTCATGCGTGTGAACGCATCTAAAACGTAAAGCCTAGTAATTTCTCGTTCTCCTGTCCGCTGCTCTGTTCAGATTAACGTTGAAGCAGTGGAACTGATGGAGAAGTTCAAGTACCTCAGGGTCGTGTTTAATGGTAACGGAAAATTTGAGGAAGAGATCGACCAGTCAATTGGAGTAGCAAGAGCCGTTGTGCATGAACAGGCCCCAGCCGTTATGACTAGAGAAGAGCAGAGTCTGAAAACTAAGCTTTCGGTGCTCAAGTCAGTCATCTCCATGCTCACCGACGGTCATAAGTGGCGAATACTGAGTGAAAAACTTCGATCGCGGGTAAAAGCAGCTGAAATGGACTTTCTGTGACGAGTCGCTGGCCTTAGGCCTTTCGACATGGTCCGGAGTATAGACATCGGGATGAGCCTTGGTGTCCTGCCACTGTTGTTTCAGATTGAGTAATCACAGCTGCGATGGTTTGGGCACGTGTTGCGAATGCCTTCAAAAAGGAAGACAAAGCAACTACTACTTGCTCAATTAACCTTCATAAGATTCAGTGTACGGGGATAAGTGTATGAAAGGAATCTGTTTTACAGTCTGGATGTATTCTGCCGAAGCTGAAATACTGGTTCATCATCGTGTGACGCGTCTGCATCCATAACACGAAAGGACACGCGGTCTTGAAAATTGAACTGATAGTACGAATCTCTGGGCGCGTCAAACCTAGGACTTAGAAGTTAAAGATGAAACAGTAAGAACAAAGAAGGCATACTTCCGCTAAAGTTGTACAACTTTACATTTGCTCTTAATGAATGTCATCGATGTCATCGACAGAACGACGGAATCTCAGTGGCACAGCCAATGAACTCCGCCGCTGCCGGTCAAAAGCCCGAATGAGACAGCAGGGTTGGAGATCCAAGGCGAAGTTACCGATGAAACTTAACCACCTACCCCTCAATGCCGTTGTCGCTATCGTACGTTACACCGCCGCGGTCGTCGCCCGGGTTGCAGCGGCAGCACACGCTGTTAGAAAACTGAAGCAGAATGAGAAAACTGAACAGGTGTTTTAGCGGGTGGCAGCACGACGACGGCTGCCGATGATGTACACGAAGATGATGAGGATTTCAATCAGTAACTGAGTCGCTACCCCTACTGAATGGAGGACGCAGGAAACGCGAAGCCACTGTGGCGCGACGGATAAGATTCCACAGTAGCCAAACCAACGGTGGAAGCTGACAATCGGAAACTGGAATATCTTACTTCCAACAACGTGAAAAGGTAAATCTGGTTATATTGTATAGTTAACGAAACACGCTTGAAACTAAGTATTGATGACAAAACGTAATACTTTTTATGAAGCAAAGAAAGTCGACTTTGTTAGCACACTCGAAGTAGAGCTTCGCCGAGGCATCAGCCAAAATCTAAAAGTCGAGTCAGCACACGTCATTCAACATGACAAACCTACGGCATCCGCTTTGCTTTCTTTCGATCGTACAAAATTCAGCAAGTTGCCAACTACCGCCGCATTGATGAAGTTATACGGTCGTTGGGACGAGCTACCGATGTTGCGCGACTGTAGCATTAGCGGGCCACCAAAAACAGACTAAAACATAATTTCATACATCGAACTTTTTACAAAATAGCTCACTCTGCACGACTGGAAATTAACTGAGCATATCTGCTTAAGTACCTTCAAACAGCATCGATTTCTCTGAAACTGGATCTTTACTAACCACAATCTACAATACGACGCCATTCACCACATACCCCATATACATAATGCTACAAGATATATAACGGAGATCTTCAAGTTTAAATGCATGTGACTCCACTGGAAGACTGTCAGTTTGAAAATAAATTTTAATAACGGGGTTTATTTTGGTTAGGTGAGCCTAACTATTTCAGGCAACACGGCAACTGCCAAAGACGAAAATTAAGACAACGAAAGTATTTGCCAGCAACAGAGTCACTAAATATTAAGAACAAAGGAGGCCGACAGTTCGTTGCCATGATTGCACGCTAGCTTAGATTCCAAATAAGTCTGATTTGATATATCTCCAGGAAGGGTGTGTTATACGCTGCCTCGGCTGATAGAAATAATGAATTGTAGAATTAAATGTGGCCTACTGAAGATTTCAGTATCATTAGCATCAGCAGTTTCTTCTGACCTACCGCTGGATGAAGGCTTCTCCGAAATTATAACGTAAAGCACTGTTTTTTGCAATCCTTATCAACTTTGATCTAACAAACATTTTAAGCTCACCTATTTTTATGGCGTTTTCTGATCAATTCCATTTCAATTTCTCCGTTTATTTGAAGCACAGCGACATTTTCTTGTATTGGAATGTTTGAATCTTCCAGAAACATTCCAGGCAATTTATTCGTCTGCTAATTTCGAGAGGTCAGTTCTACATTTTAGAGATTCGCTGTATATGATAGGCGTAGAATTGCTCTTTTACACACTTAAGCCATTGATCTCGACAGTTAGCGAAGCTAAGTATCTATTCACCAAGATCTGATTAAGTTTGGGGTTAATTTATCCTGCTTTGAGCTAGCATGATTCAGTTGGACACTTTAAAAGGACAGCGCGATCCTGTTTTGACACTTTAGAACAGGGGACAGCCAAGACGAACCTGGTGCAAATATTTCGAAGGAGTCTGCTCCAAACTCCAATTGTTATTTGCCGAACCTCGACTCTGGCACAGGATCTAGAACATTCGAAGCACTGTCTGACGCGTTTGCTTCCGCCACCCGAAAGCGAAGCAATTATGGAAAATGATGGCGACTAAATTCTCAAGTGGGTAAGGGCAAACTGCGACCATAGAAGCGCTTGGCTCATTGAGTATTGCCATTCAACTCGTTTATTCTGTATGACTACACCGAAAGACTCTCCTCTAGTGGAATTGATGTTTAAGGCAAAGATTGTTACGTCCTAAATTTGATGGAACTTCCTTAGCACCGAACCGCTTTTCCGAGTAACACCTGTCGACTGTGTCGCAAGGATTTAATCAAAGCAATTAAGAATAGCAAAGACTTTAATAATCTGCATCAAAAATGGCGAATAGCTCAGCAGCATTGAAGACAGCAAATAGGATGTTATCACGATGAAACACGTGGCTTATGTTTTTTAATGTAGCGAAACATCAACTGATTACCTAGAGGCAGGTTAATCCACTCCATCGTGTGTTGGATCTCCATCCATCCATTTTGATAATGAAATGAAGATGAAGACCATTGTAACAATGACAGACAAGAACAAGATCAACCAGCTGGCCAACCAAGTCGACAATTCTCGCACATGTCTGCTTCCCACTGTTTTCTTTTTGCAACAGCTGCAGTGTTAGTTGTACAGTTGGTGCGGTGACTGAAACTATGAAATGTAATAAACACCTGTTTGATGTGCTCGTCTGTTCAGTTAGGGAGTTTCAGTGGAAATAAAGTTCCTTGAAAAGTCCCAATGCAAATGAATGATTCGTTTGAGATTAGGTCTAAAATTATTTCATAAATCTAATTTGCGTTTTATTTGCATAATTTAATTATTTTTGTATGTTGCAATGAAACTGCGACAACAATGTAAAACAGAAGTTTATTTGAAATAAATTTACAATTCATCATAAAACAAACCATTGACGAATAGGTAATTAATTACACACCAGCTTGATTCTAAAAGTAAATAGAAAGCGGAAACAGAATCATAAAGGCGTTGAACACCTTAATGTATATATTCATAAGCGTAACATATTCAGAATATGAATGCCACAGCTAAATGCAGAGCGAATATGAAACTGCATGCGAAATACTAACGATAATCAAACGAGAGAGCACAACGATAACGTAGATTGTCACATAAACACAACTCAAAATACCGATAAAACGATACAGCGCTTGAGAAGCTGAAGGGACAGCAGTAGAAACGTAGGTGAACGCTGTCGGAAAGACGGAAAAGACTAACTACAAGCAGCAAATAATGAACATCACAGCATATAAACCATACATTGTAGCTACGGATACAGCGCACCACGCAGGAAGAGAAAATCACGTGAGAACCATTAAAAATATCGCACAGATCACGTAAAGATATCCCGTTGAACGCAACTAACAAGTTTACGAGAAACCATTTTTAGAACGTTATGAGCTAACAACGAAGTAAGAATGAAGAAACGTTGAGGAAACAGTTCTGACAGAACAAGAATAGGACCCGAAAAGAATCGATTAACCCAACATGAAAAAGTCTAACAAAAAGGGTCACATTGGATGAAAACGAGAAAAACTATTAGATAAAAAGAAGAGGAAATAGAAACAATATAAAATACTACCGGGAAAGAACCACGTGTGTAACAAAGCAACAAAGATAAAACTTTAAAGAACACAGCAAAAATGTTTAAAAACATGACTGGACGAAAGAAAGAAATTTGATGAAACGCACCTCCAGGAGAACGCAAGCAAGAGAGAAATGAAATTCAAGAGCATGAGAAACGAAGCAGAAACAACTTAACAAAAAGGCAAAACGAACAGATTTCAAATGATAGGACAGATGCGGCTGGAAACAAGAAGAGATAGAAAGCAACCATAAAATGATTGAGAACACAAGCACAACTAATGCAAAGAACACGGGCATAGGAAAATGCAGGCAAGCTAAGAAACTACTGCGTTTGCATTTTGACGATTGCGCTTGAAAACAGCAGGACTCAAGAACTCTTCACGGGATAACCAGTTGCATTAAACAATTAGCAGAGGAAAAATGCCGCGACAAAAACAAGTCCAGATAACGCAGCAATAGGCGCAACAAGACAATAATTTATTTTTGGTATAAACAGAAGATGTGGAGGGGCAGCAGCGGCAGGATAAAACCAGCCGGTGTGGAGTAAATGAACAAAGAGCGATTCAACAAAGATCAACACAAAGTAAAGAATATAACACATAGTGGAAAGGAAAGTAACTTACCCAAAGAGTTGGCAAAAGGAAACTGAATGAAAGACCTAAAAGATTAAAGGACCAAGGAATCTCCACAAACGCAGCGGAAAGGTGCTTACAGGTATTAACTGAGACGCCGATTACAAACAAGAGAGAACATGCAGAGCGGAATGCGTAGTAGGTGGAACAAGTAATCGCTTAGTTTGTAGAAAAGAGTAATCAGATAAGGCATGACAGCTCAGTAAGTGTAGTTGATAATATTGGAAAGGAAACATGGAAGGATTATAGAGTAAAGAACGTAAGTAGGGCAAGAAACTAAGTAACAAAATTAACAATGAGAGGGAACTCAATGAAAACTTCTGGAAAGAGAGGAAGAAGATAGCAACCTATTGCAGCAACAGTAATTTAAAAGTCTGAAAATGAACAATAATGAGACAGAATAAAGGCAAAAAACAACGTGCCGACAACAAGCAACCTCTTACGGTGAAGAACCGAACATACATCACAAAGTGGCGGTTGCGAGAAACAAGAAAAAAACCGTCATACGACGACATATATAGTGACAAGTTTGCAGTCCGAAGATAGAGAAGAGACAAAAAGCAAATCCACAACCTACAGACTACGATGGTTCCTAACAAAATAGAACCTGAAATCTCCGGAATCGAAGCAGAAGCAAACAGGATGGCGGCCGGTGCAAAGACAACGCCAAACAAAGGAAAACAAGCATGGAACAATGGGGAAACCAACTTATAACTCAGACGAAAACAAGAAAAACATACTCAAACAACCACACATGTATATGAAAATAGACTACTTACAGCCCGGATAAGAACATTTGGAATTGGAATCGCCTACGGGAGAGAAACCGCAACACTGATATTGAAATGAGGCATCAATGATGAGGTAAAGTTTATTGACCAATTTGACCAACGCTGCTTCTGATTTGACAATATTGGCATTGACTTTCGCGTATTACTTTCCTTTGTGAAAAAAGAGTAAACTGAAATTTTGATCGACTGAACATGTCTTGCAGGTCAAAATGTTTTTACTGTAGAAAATTCTCGGTACGTCGCGCCTCCACAGTTCAGTAGCAGTACCATTTCCCTGTAAAGTTTGTATGTCTGTTTGTTATCGAGAGTTTTCAGAATTGTTATTTATGTAACTTTTAGATGTAACTAGCAAGTTTGTGAATATTTTTCATACTGTGTTTCGTTCGGCGGTTATGTCGTTGCGATCAGCCGGTCTGGTAGCTGCGAAGGTATCCAAGCACGAATTGGTCGTCCTAGGCGTCGAAAAAGGGAAGGGACAGTGAGCAATGAGCTACGTTGGTCGGGCAATCGTGACACCTGGAGAGGCGTCCGAAACAGACGAGGAGCTGAGTGACAGTGCCAACGATAATGAACCAACGTCGAATAGGTCTGGTACGTATTAGGCGATAGAAAACCGACGTGGGCACCCCGTCGGAGTTTTACTCGTTTACTAGCTTAACAGGTATCACCGAATGTTTAGAGGTAGTTGCGAGTGGCGAAATGCAGAATCAGTTCAAGCGAGAGATACCGAATAACGAAAGGCAAGGAAAATTTTTTGATGGATATGTAGTACCCGTTGTAATATGACGTTTTCACAAAAGTGATTAAATGATAAAATAAGTAGTACTAGGTTGATAATGATTTGGTGGCTTCAAGTAAGGTCTAATAATAGTTTACTGCAGTAGGTAAATATTATTCATTTAGCATTTAATACCTTTGAATAGATTAAGAATTCTGCGACGTTTGCCCCATTCGGCATATCCAGTAGGTCTAGTAATTGTAAGACAGCTGTAGAATATTTCACACTTGAAAT